AGGACCTTATCATTCCCCTGGCTTCGTGATCGATCCCATTAGGTTCTTGTGGCAGCTGTGACAAATCACCACAGACTTGGTGGGTTAATTAAAGCAACACATTTATTTTCTTACAGTCCTGGAGATCAGGAGTCCAAAACCAGATTCAGCCGCCCAAAATTAAGGTGTCGGCAGGGCTATTTCCTTTCGCAGGCTCTGAGAAGAGAACCCACTTCCTTGCCTTTTCCAACTCCTAGAACTGCCTTCCTTGCATCCCTCGGCTTGCGGCCCCTTCCTCCATCTTCAAAGCCCGCAGCAGAGCATCTTGCTTCAGATGTCATCTATGTCAAATCACCCTCTGTTTCTCTCTTCTAAGGAACCTTGTGACAGCATGCAGGCCCCACCTGGACACCCCAGGATAACCTTCCCTTCTCAAGATCCTTAACTGGATCACATCTGCAGAGTCCCTTTTGCCATCAACACTCACAGGTTCTGGGGAATCGGACCTGATGTCTTTGGGGGCATTACTCGGCCTTCCACAGCGATCCTTCCTCACACACATCCTCGCCTGCCCTGGAGGGACAAGTTAAAGCCTTGATGGAATGTAAAGGCCTTTTCTGCCTCAGGGCCTTTGCACAGCCTGTTACTGCTGCCTGGAACTTCTGTCCTACACACTCATTCACATATGGCAGATTCCTTCACATCTTAGAGGTTTTGCCACCGCCTCAGAGAGGCCTTCCTACCCCAGCCCTGTTTATTGTCTATTTCAGCACCTGGACACTGATCACAATGTGTAATTCCTTTGTTACTTCTTGGTTTATGAGTTTCTTATCTGCCTCCTTGTAAGACTGCTAACTTCCTGTCTCCTGCGGTAGCACCTTCCCTCCCATCTCCCCCATTCCACACACTCAGCCCTTCTTAAGCCCCAAGCAGCTGGCTCTTTCGATAGAATCAAAGACTTTTGAGTACGAAAGAACCAGACACACCCAGGGTGAGCCAACTATGGCAAACCATCTGATTCTGTGAATAAAGGTGTCCTGGAACACAGCCAAGTTCATTCATTTCTGTATTTTCTGTCGCTGCCTTCTCACCACAGTGGCGGAGTTGAGCAGTTGCAGCAGAGACAGCATGGCCCATAATCCCAACCTATCTACTCTCTGGCCTTTTACAGAAAAGGTTTGCCAACCCCCGAAGTAGCCCCTCTGACCCAAATCCACCCACTTGGCAGATGAAGACACTGAAAGCCAAACGTTTACAGACCGCGGAGCCAGAGTCCTACCACGCGTCCACGCTCAGGACCGGAACTCCTTCTGCAGAACCCCAAACCACGCTTCTCCCCGTAGGACCCCACCCTCTCTAGCACCCAGCCGCTTCCCCAACACAGACGGTCACCCTCAGCACCGGCTCCACCCTCCTGTTTCCGAAAGGCCCCGCTGTGTATGTTCTCGATTCTCTACTTGAACCTGGACCCAACAGACTTCCTGAGCTGACTCATTCCTTGACCCTGCCAGAAGCCACCTGGGCTTTTTCTTCCCTTCTAGAGCCTCTCCGGTGCCACCCCACAGACCCGGTTTTCGATCCCCACAGCAAAGACGTCAATGGCCGCTGCCCTGTTCGAGTTGATCGTGCCCTGCCCCCCGTTCACCCCAGGCCACCTAGTCAGGGGTTACTAAACCTGGCTTGCTCCAGAATCCCCAGAGGAGCTTATATAGAATGCAGATTCCCGGGCCTGTTGAACCAAAACTCTGGGGGTGAAATCAGGGCTTTGGCAATTTTCACACACTTCCCGGGTGATGCTGGTGTTAAAACAACCTACAGAACTGCTTCTTTAATTCATGAGCTCCTCTAGGTTCTAGTCACTACAGACCTCTTCACACCAAAGTATGGAGCCAGTGGAACAAGTTTCTCCTGAATAATCTATAAGGAGAATGCGGCCTTTTTGCTCTCAGCATCCTGTACCTCCTCCTGAACTCAAGGCCCTAGAATTCCTTCCCGTCTCCAACTCCTCCGAAAGAAACCTCACATCACACTATGCTTCCCCTCTGAGTAAACAATTAAGATTTTTAAAGGAGCCGCTTGCAAAGAATTCGTGAGCTTATAAACTATTGAAGTCAGAGTGACTGAAAGAAGGCAACGTTGGAAGGCGAGAATAGGTACAGAGAAAATTCCCGAGGAGGCTGGAATCCTAGGGATCAAGGCTTCTTATTTGGGTGTTCTCCAGCTGTCTTAGTCAGGGTGTTGTTTTGAAGGGAGCGGAGCCTGGTTCTCCTCTTCGGCGTTCAGCAGGACTTGGCTGCTCGCCCAAGGCCTCAGCATCTCCCGTGAAAGTCAGCGGCCAAGGGCAGGGCTGGAAGTTAGGGGCCCCGCTTCAGGGACCCCCAAGCACAGGAAAGGCAGGGGAGCAGCAGGGGGCAGGGCTGGGGTGTCTCTGCACAACAACCAGAGGGCGTTCTCTCTGAGCACCCGGGGCTGGTTTGGGCAGCGATGGAAACATGGTGTCAGAAATAAGTCCTGCTCACCTGAGACAATAGAATCCAATTCAATTTCCAGTCAGTGAGAGTTTATTGAGTGCCTAATTCAGTTGAGGTGAAGGAGAGAATGAGGGAGTGAGGGCGACAGCCTCAGCAGCGGGCCGATCCAGGCAGAAATAACCCAGGAATCTGCCCACAGCTCTCTGGGTCCACAAACTCGATTTCTATCCATCTCACCCAGTAAAAAATTGGTAAATATCAGTCTGGTTCATGAACACATATTTTATTAAGTGCTTACAGCCTGCCAGACACTGTCCTGGGGCTGGATCCGTGAACCAAGTAGCAGCCCCAGGTCCCTGCTGTGGAGTTTCCATTCTAAGGGGGCCTCTGCGAGGCCATGGGGTCAGGCCAGTGCGGTGGGGTCTTCCACGGGAGGGGGCCAGGGGCGGTGGAATTATCGGGCGCAGCGTTGAGGCAGAGGTGGGGTTTGAATTGTGGTTTGAAGGTTAAGTGGAGCGTCAATGTTGCAAGGGCCGGAGGCCATTCCGACGGGAGTCTGAGCTGCAGGGGCCGGAGTGAGCGGGGCACGCCATCCGGGGTCCGTGGCCAGAGCAGCTCCGCTGGGGTGACAGGGGCATGCTGGGTAGCAGTGTGTGCTGGGAAGTTGGTCAAAAGAATGTGGGTATCACATGGGGTTATGGCACAGGGGCTCTGCAGTCAAGTGACTTGGCTCTGACTCCCAGCTCTTGCCTACGGGCTAACCCTCTAACCCAGGACGTTAACCTCAGTACACTTCACTCTCCTAATCTAGAAAACAGACATAATCGTAGCTAGCTTGTAGGTTAATTCTAAGCATTTAGATGAGATCATGAATGGGATTAACGGAGAGGAAATGTTTTTTAAAAAAAAAAAGGCTTCACTGTTTAATATTATTAACATTGGATAAATAGGCCTGGTCTCTAGGAAAACTGGAACCCGCCACCAAAATCTTGGCGGGAAGCTCATGACATCGCCATGCAGTGATGGGCTTGCTGCCCTCTCGCTCCCATGGCAACCATGCTGGGTTGAGTGGCAGCACCAGCGCTTGGAGGAGGCAAGAGAGGCACCAGAACATCTTCGCATGACCTGGCCGCCTTACGCGTGGCACGCCAGGCGCCCCTCTTGCCTCGCCGAGTCCCAGCCCTGCTGAGTGGTAAGATACCTGCTTGATCTACCCAGAGTGTTTCTCAACGTGCGGTCCTTCATCTGCCTCAATCAGTAGTACAGGGGCTGCTTATTAAGACTACATTACTGGACCCCATGCCAGCAGCATTTCTGGGGATAAGGCTGGGAGTGTGCATTTTAACACACACACACACACACACACACACACACACAAACACACACTCACACACATACACACACACTCACACTCACACAACAGGAGATTCCCAAGTCCGTCCCCCGCCTCCCCCCATCAATACCTCAGAGCAGAATTCTTTGAGTGTGGTCCCCAGCCCAGCAGCATCAACATCACCATGGTTAGAAATGCAAATTTTTGGCCACCTTCCCGGATGTGCCGAATCCAACAGTCTAGGAGTGGGGCCGAGCAATTTGTATTTTAACAAGCCCTCCAGATACTGTGGGTGCACCTTCCATTCACATGGGGAAGCTTTTAAAAACTACCAATTAAATCAGAGCCCCTGATAGGACTCAGGCATCAGTGTTTTCCAAAGCCCCTCTCCTCCCCAACTCCCCGCCGCCCCCCCACCCCTCGCCCAGCAATCCTAATGCGAGGACAGAGTTTATAATAATCAGCGGAAGAAATAGGAAGATGGCACAAATGTCTCCCACTCAGGAAGTTACAGTTCAGCCCACAGACCTTGCCTCGGTTAATTCTTGCAATGAGCTGGGTGCCCTGCTGCGATCCCAGGCTCCCAGAGCTTCGGGGAGGGGGGGGTGCCCCTCCCCGCTCCTCTGGGCCCTGGCTTCGCCGGCTGTGACTGGCGGCTTCCTGCTGACTTGGCTCTCTGTCGCCTTTCCTAGGTGCTAACGCCTGCTGCTAGGACAGAGCTGAGGCCCGGGAGAGCGCGGAGGGATGGCAGGGAGCTGGCGCGGCATGGAAAGGGAGAGCGGGAGGACACCTTAACCCTGGGCCCAGAATAGGGAGCCCCAAGTACCAATAACCCAGGCATGGGCAGGGGCGGGGGGGGGGGGGGGGCTCTACTAGGCACCAGACCCTGTGCTTGGTGCTTTAAGTGAGTCACCTCCTTTACGTTCACATGATCTCCGAGGGAGATAACACTCAGAAGAGTCCCATCTCATCCTTTCACAGTCACTTCATGCCGGGTTTACAGATGAGGAAACTGAGGCCCAAAGACTCGGGAGAGCCTGCCCCCGAGTCACCAGAGCGGTCGGGATGTCTCCGAAGGCTCTCCCACTACTCCGGAATTAAGAGGCAGGGCCTCCGGGGAAAGCGGGGTGGGCGTAGGGAGGTGGGGGGTCGGGGGTGGGGCTGCGCCGGCGGCCCCCGCCGCCCTAACCCGTCTCCGCGTCCCTCCCCCGATGCAGGCCCTTCCTCGTGCTGCCGCCGCTGATGGAGTGGATCCGGGTGGCCGTGGCGCACGCCGGCCACCGCCGCAGCTTCTCCATGGACAGCGACGACGTCCGCCAGGCGGCCCGCCTGCTGCTGCCGGGCGTGGACTGCGAGCCGCGCCAGCTCAGGTACGGGCGGCGGGCGGGGCGCAGGGAGGGCCGGGCGCGCTCCCCGGACACGGCCAGCGGCATCCCGCGGCGGGGAGGCCTCCGGCGGCGCAGCGCGCGGGGCCGCGGGCTCCCTGCATCCACTCCTGCCATCCGAGTCCTGCAGAGCGGCTTGCTCGGGCGGTCAGATGGCCTCCCCGGGACTGAGGCTCCGCTGGTGTAAATGACAGGCTGGATTTAACAATAAGCGGGTCCCTCTAGTTCCAGGGATGGCGAACAGGAGCAAGGCTATGTGGGAATGCTCTGATTCTTGGATTGCAAGATATCGGGCGCCTTGATTCTGTTTGTATTCTTCCTTATTCTCTCTATCCCCTCCCCTTCTCCTCCCCTCTCCCTACCTTCTTCTTTTTCTCTCTCCACAAGAAGTAAATTATGATCCTCGTATAGTTTTCTAACAAAACCTTGCAGAGTAAGATTTCTAGCTGGGTAAGAGCGCACCTCTGCGCTTTCGCGTGCAAGGGGATGGAGCGACTCTTTCTCAGGCCTGTGCCCAGGTCTCCCCTTCATCCAGGTGGGAATTATTTATAGGGCTTCATTTCTGCCCAAAGCAAAAGAAATAAAACAACAACTCACTCGGCTGAGTGAAAACCTGGCTCAAATGGAAAAAGCTCAGGAACTCAGAGGTGTGTGAGCACTTTCCTGAATCCCTGCGCCGTTTGCCAGCTGGTCCTTGCCCACCATTTTCAAATCCCCACTGCCCACCTCCTGAGAAACCGTCCTCCCTCTAAAGTTCCTCTGGCCCAATCGTGTGGCCAGGCTGTGGAGATTTCCACCCTTCCCGGGTCTGACAGGGATACAGACGGTTTGCAATGTAACACATATAGCCCAAGGCGCCCCTCAGCCCAAGAACATGCCCGGTGCCGATCCAAGTTATCGCTGCTGGCGTTCAGTGATGCTGGCTGGGTGCTGGGCACTGTTCAAAAGGCTTCACACAGATTAATTAATATCTACTATGCCCCGAACCCTACCAGGTGTGTACCACTGTGCAGATCAGGAAGCTCGGGCCCAGGTTGGGGAAGCAACACAGCCAAGGACACAGGACTAGGACAAAGAGGAGCCAGGATGAGAGTTCAGGCAGCCCAGACTCCCGGCTCATCATTTCCACCACTGCGCGTACTGTCCTCAGCTTCCTCTCTGGGCAGTTCCTGGCTGTGCTACCGTTTCCTTCCTCTTGTCGCCTAGAATAACAGCGGGTCTCAGGAAAGGCTGAGAGGCAGCCGTTTATTGAGCACTTACTATGTGCATTTATCTCTTGCAACAAGAGGTGTGTATTGGTTACTTACCTCCTTCCAGTCCTGAGGGCAGCCTCCTAGGATCACCATAATCTTCCCCGTTTACAGATTAGGAAGCTGTTGGCGGGACAGCGTGTAAGTGGAGGTGCCAAGGATCAGACGTCTGGGGCTCATTCTCCAAAGCCCGTCCTCTGCCCTCCCGACTCTCCCGCCTCCTCTTCCCTGAATGTGGCATTCGTCCTACAGGCTCACTCCCCGCCGCCCTTGCTCACCCCCCAGGTCCAGCCTGGGATGGCAGTGAGACTCCAGCTGTCCTCCCTGCAGCAAGCCTGGGGCTGCTGGGTGGCAAGAAAAGTAAGGTGTTTTCTTAGCTCTTGCTGACAAAGCACTCCTTGTTTTTCACGCTCTCAGGATATGCCATGGCTTAAGGGTTAAGAGGCAGGGCCCCAGAGTCCCACCACCTTGGTTCAAATCCCACTGCCATGGTTAATCGGCTCTGCAACCTTGGGCAAGCTAGTTAGCCTCTCTGGACCTTCGTTTTCCCACCCGATACATGGAAGTAATAATAGCTGCTCCCGTCGGAGTTGGGTGCAAGCAAGAAGTGGGATCACGAACATGAAGCTCCTACCCAGACAATGCCTGAGAGGAGGAAGTGCCCACGACCTAGTGTTCGTTGTTAACTAGCATTGCCCCCAGTCTATGTCCCCAACATAGGAATGGAGGCTCCTGCCTAGGTGTTGCTTTATATTCATAAAGGCTTTTAACCCTTTCTCATGGGAGCCTCCTAAACAAACACTGTTGTTATCCAGGAAAGTAGTGCTGTCCAGTTTTACAGAGGAGGAAATCAAGGCCCAGAAGGTTTGCTAACTCTCCCAATATCACACGGATATTAAGTGACAGAATTAGGCACCAGATATCAAACCCAGACATCCAGAGATATAACCAATTTTTCTGGTCCCCTCCCTAGACGTAGACTCATCCCTCTGGGAAGACACTGATGGGAAGTCTCTTCCAGATGCTTCTAATCCTTATCGTAATTCCACAGGCTGCACATGAGCTTCAAGGGCCCCTGTTCATCTCCCTGCCCGTCCTCCAAGATGGAGCTTTCATTACATGGTCTAGTGATCGAGTGCGTGTCCTTCTGACAGTCACACCAAGGAGATCAATTTCAGCACGGTCCAGTTCGACGCCCCGTGCTGGTGTTGGGGTGTGAGCGTGACCTCCGCACAGGCCGCAGTGCATGCACTCAGAGCGGGGAAACAGTGGGAGTTAGTTCCATGTCAGCTTCTAGGCTATTTCTCGTCGTTTGTATCTCAGTTCTTGACTCATTGGTCTCCAGAAGAGTGATTTGTGTATAGCAAATATACTAACTGATTGTTCCAGCTCCATTTTCAAGCTCAGAAATCATCTTTAAAGAGAAAACTAAAATATAGTATTTCATTAGCTTTCCTAATAAGTATAAACGTACAAGTTCCATGAACTAAACTAAATTCAGGACAAGAAAGGATGAATGAGGTTTTTAGTTAGAGTACCTATTTTTTCAGTCTAGGCAGCATATAGATACATCTGTACATATATTTTCCAGCCTCATTTAAGGTGACGTGAAGTTGGAATTACTGTCTCCAATTTGCAGGTAACAGGATCGAAGAAGTTTTGTGCATGCAGAGATTCTTCTTACCCTGCACCTTGCACTGACTAGCTTCATGGTATTACCCCATTTTACAGATAGGAAAGCTGAGGCTAATTGAGGTTATGGAACTTGTCCAAGGTCACGCAGCTACTATGAGGCAGACGAGGCCTCAAATGGAGGTCTTAGCACATGAAGGTAAAAAATACAGTCTCCTTGTCTCTCTACTCTCCCAGACATTCAACTTCTTTGAAGTTGCCAGACTGGATCCTAGTTCTGAGTCAGTCGGAGCTAAGCTCCTCTTTCTAAATAAACAGGCCTAGAAAAGAAGGGGTGCTTTGGCAGTCTAACAAACGCAGGGACTTGGAACTTGGGATTGGCGGCTGGAGTGTCAGTGACCGTTAGCACATATAATTACCTACCAGCTGGCAGAGGTTTCCCAGTGGGAAGTGGCGGGACAGAGCGACCAGAGTCAAGGAGTCCCAGGTCTGACGCTAGTGCTGCCATTGATTTTCAGAGTGACCTTGGCCAAATGCTGTGTGATTTCTGCTTTGGTCTTTACTCAGCTACAGCAAAGCCTCACCATGGCGGCTGGGTTTATTCAAAAGGAATATCATTTGATGCGGCTGCAGTTTGTAAGGGATGACCCATTTATTCTTCCTTAATTAAGGCATCAGGTCATCTAAAGCAGGGAAATTTGGCCTTTTCTTTCCTGTCCTTTGGGAGGTGGAGGAGGGGCAGTAGAATAAGGGAAAGAACAAATAATATGCTCTGGCTGTACTTTTTAAAAATTAATTGGTTTTGAAACATATTAGAAATACAAAGTATAAATACTGTTGTTTTTCCCATATTTGTAAGAGGCAGTTTTTCTGCTCCAAATTGAGGCTGTGTTAAAATAATAATAGTAAGGGCTATTCACAGATCTGATCTTCGCTGATAAATCGCATCTACCCACAGGATTTGGGGGTTGTTAGAACCATGAGCTCCCTCCAGGCAATGGTTAATCTTTTTGCGGGTGTCAAATTCGAACCAGATTTTGGGATAAATTTTGGGGGTGGTCAGGTGCAATAAATATTAGGATGGGAGTCAGGAGGCCTGGGTCATTACAGCCTTTCCTTCATTCTTTCATTACATTTAGTAGTGCCTACTAAGGGCCAAACCCCACACTGGATGCTGTGACCTGGGGCTGCTGCTCTCTGGAAGGTAACCTTGGGCAAGTCACTCCGCCCATCTCACTGGGCTAGGTTGATCCCCTGTAAAGATGGGGATGACAACCGCTTTATGGGACGAGGAACCTCCGTGTAGCACAGGTGTCCAACCCACAGCCCATGGGCCACGTGCGGCCCAGGATGGCTACGAATATGGCCCAATACAAGATTATAAATTTACCTAAAACATCATGAGATTTTTTCTTTTTGTGTGTGTGTGTGATTCTGTGTTGCAGTGTATTTAATGTGTGACCCAAGACAACTCTTCTTCCAGTGTGGCCCAGAGACGCCAAAAGGTTGGACACCCCTGGTAGAGGGTCATGTGTGAATTTAATGAATTGTATCACTGTTCGATCTGCTACTCTTAACCCTTCCCAAGTCTCCAGGGCACCTTTTGAGGTTTTGCTATTTGTCCAGTGAGGGGTCAGACTGGGTTCTAAGGTGAAGGTTGTGCTATGTTAGTACCTGTCCTAAAATTCTGATTCCTCTTACGTAGCCCTGTAACGACAGCTGAAAATGTGGGTTCATTCCCCAAGCATGTATGGAATGTAAAGCATGGCCCAGTGGGCCCTGTGTGGGCCACAGGGATACCAAGTCAGGCGAGACCCAGCTGCTGCCCAGAAGGGTCACGTAGGAGACAGGCCTTGTGCTGTTGTGGCTGCTGGCCCTTGTTCCTCTAAACCAGGAATTTTCAACCAGTGTGCTACAAGAATTTTTAAAACATGTGACACCTGACCATTTAATCAGGGGCACTCACCTCTTTTCCCTTAGATTGTCCAAAAAAAAAAAAAATGGCAACAGCCAAAACAATACCTGTCCGGTGTGTATGAATCAAAATTATACCCATTTTTTGGTCAGATCAGCAAAAAATATATTTCTTGGCATGCCACAGAA